ATGCGGTTGAAAAATTTGGGTGTAACTAACTTTTGTGTTGGTGGACCTAAGAAGAACAAATGTTAGGCGCACAGTGCAACCGTGGGAAAAAAGTTAGTCTAGAGCTCTGTAAGCTCAGGTTATTCATGCCCAATTATTTACAAATCGGTACCGATTAATACTTATTAACCATGCTTACAGAATTTCTATATGCAAAATGCAGTACTATTCCCTTAAATGTAAACACTGACCAGAGAGTGAGCTGCCTTGGTGGAGGTTTGTGCGCTCAGTGCATATTGTTATTAATGCTGTTTAACTGCTTTAACACAGAAGGGCAAGAACTACGACAGAAAGGTTGACATATTTGCTTTGGGGCTGATCTACTTTGAGCTTCTTTGGAAAATCTCCAGTTGTTATGAAAAGTTCAAGGTAGGTTGCTGTGCATGGTAGCTCATAATCTGTAGGAGGGCAAATGTTTTGTCTTTAACTATTCATTAGAAATTTCCTGAACTATATTTCTGAATTTCAGACATGGGAAAACATCAGAAAACAGGAGCTTCCCCAAGAATTTCCATCCACTTTTATCTGGGAGGTACATCAACGTTTTCTCAGTGTATTAGCAAATTTCAGTGTGCATTTCTCACGACATGTGTGCTGGCAGAGGAAAGGCTGTGATCCAAAACCTCTCAATTTTTTGGGGTCACTTAGAAATGTATGCGTTTGATTTTAGATGGATTATTTACATCGGCTAACAGAAGACGATTTCCAGCAAACACCTCTCCAGTATTCCAGTGTCTGAAAGGCTAATTAATCATTAGAAAAGGCCTTTTTGTTTTTAGTTGTCACGGAAGCAAGGAAAGTCTGTGGAGCATCAGGACGTTCAGGATCAAACATCTGATGGCGATGAGAACAAAATCAGAAAGGGATGATCATCATATTTAGGGAAATAAGACTCTGGATTTAAAAGATATGCACTTAGTGGAAAATGTTGTTGAAGTTGAGCGCTAGAAATGGTGCAAATGAAAGATTGTTTCTAATATTTTATTACTCTTTTTATGCTACAGTACATCACCATCAGATCAATGCTGAGTATGAATCCCGAAGACCGACCTGAAGCGTCTAAGGTCATAACAGACCTGGAAGAGTGCGCTAAACGGATAAACGCTGAAGAAATAGCGCGTCGTGGAAGGGCCACTGTCTAAATAGCGGGAATACAACAGAAGAATTTCATCTGCACATGGGGGGGGGGAAGATCCATTGGTGCTCTTGAAAGACTTTCAGAATAATGTCAAATATTCACATGCAACTTACAAATCATAAATGATCGTTTTTAGAACATACCACCAAACATTGAAGCTACAGAAACCTGTAGTTTTCATTTTAAAATTTAAATGACCAGTTCTGCCCATCCTTCCAGGAAGTGTGCAAACCATGCCATTTGACACATGACTAGATATTTTATTGATCACATATTGAATTTACAGTTGCTGGATAAAGAATAAGCATAATATAATATTTTATATTACCACCGGTCCATACTGACTTTTCTTAAAAGTAATGTAGTACGTTACTTAATTACTTGCCAGAGAAAGTAATTTGCTGCCCTGCTAGTTGCATTACTTTCACACCATAAACACACCAACACAAATTTGTGCCCTAATGAGGACACATGTACAGTCTCATAGTTTTTAGGTATGAACAAAAAGCTGACAACACAAAGCAAAAACACTCAAACATTTCTACTGTAAAATCATGAACAGGTAGAAACAGAGCTTCATGATGAGACTAACTGCTCATCGATGTCTGTTACCTGTTGAAGTTCAGGCTCTGACCTCTGAGTGGGGGGTCGGCAAACTCCTCCATTGCCGTCTGAGGTGCACTGGGATGTGAAGCTTGGAGAAAAATCCTCAGTTTTTCTGACAATCCTTTCTTTTTTCTGTCTTAATTTATGTCATTGGCATTTTTAAAAAAATCTTTTTGTCTTTTGTATACTTTCTATATGCATTTATGTCTGTGCGTCACCTGGTGATTGCACAGTTTCCTCTTTTGAGTAACGTTTTCTAAGTCAAATAAAAAGAATTTTTGTTGTTGTTGTTGTCTTTCGTTCTTTGGCCTGTAGGGGGAGCTGTGGCACTGCATAGGTCGGGCAGTTGAAATTGCGGCTGCAGGCTCCAGGCCCTGTCTGCCTGTGGGTAAGAGAGGTTTATTCACAGTGAGAGGGCCAAAGCTGAGGGCGCTGCGTGACATTTAATCATGCCCCTGGCGCATGCTGGATGATTAACATCTCAGTGGAAAACTGCAGTAACAAGTGCCAAACGCAGGATCCCACACAATCACCTGGACCCGGTGCCCACAGTCACATGGGCCCGCTAATCAGCACAAATCAGCTCCTGCAGCTCAGTATGTTACCTCAACAATCTCCACAGTGCAAAGAGCCTTAAAATTTGCTTGCCGCCTGTGGAGAGGCCATAGGTGAAGGACTGATTTCTGTCTTATCAGCTACAGCACTACCTCATTGTGACAGCAGCAGTAAAAAGGGGGAAAGCTCCTGAAAGAAACCACGCAGATCCAGATCCTTATCCTCTCAGCAGTGAACATGGGATATTTTAAACCTCCCTCACTGATCTTCCCCCTTAGACCTTGGGAAGACTCTTGTAGCCTGCATGAATGACTTACAGTAACTTGCAGCTGTTGGTGTTTGCTGAGAAGTGTTAGTAATGCTACTTAAAAGATTTTTAACCACACAAAACGGACACGAGTAATATTACAGTTCCTTTTTTCACGATGTGATAACTTCGGATCTAGAGGCACGTTTGTCTCAGCCCGATAAAGCCCAGTATGTTGCATCTCCTGTGAAATATTTGGCTCTTTATTTATAGGCACATGTTCACAACTGACCTGACTACAAGGACTAAACAGGTGCTGTATGGTTGCAAAAAAAGGCCGTAAGTGAACGTGAGAAAAACATTTTGTTGGAATCCATTCAAATGCATAAAAGCATCACGATCTGTGATATGTAACTCAACCACACTTGGTGAGCAAATGGAAAAAGATTTGCACAAATAGCAGTATTGCAGGCTCATTGATAAAATCAGTACACGCAAAACGTGTGTGTGTGTGTGTGTGTGTGTGTGTCCATCCAAAAGTTAAAAAACAAAAACATCACTTCACTATCAGATCACAGAGCTGAGGTTGGGCCACCTTCGCAGTGTGTGGCTGCAATCAGGCTTCATCTTTGTAGTGAACAGTGTGAATTCACAAACCCAAACAACCATCTTATGTAGTCTGCATTTTACAAATGACTCTTAACATCAATAAAATCATTACTTCTTTACTGTGGATTTTAGCACGTAGACACAATTAGAATTTTGTTGCTATTTTCTATTCATTGCCTTTAAATTCTTATTTTTTCAATTACAATCCAAAATTATTCAAGCCAGTCGACTTTTCTTTTTTTACTCTGCAGATGTCATTTAGATAACGACTGCATGAGAAAACTTTGAGCTGTTCTTCCTGTGACATTTACACCACCAAAACAATGTACTTTCTCATTTTAGCAGCATCTAAGATAAGAAACCTGGTGTGTCTCCAATCTTCTGCAGCTGTCGCGCTCCTGCGAGCAGGCTTATTGGATGTATTGAGGTCACTTCCTCTGAGAGCACTGTGGGCATTGAAGCAGTGCTTCTAGTCAGTGGCCTGAACCATGTTGCCGGGGGTAAAATGGACTCACAAGTCAGAGTGTCTCCCCACAGTCCCCGGGGGTCAGGCCAAACGATTACTCTGTGCGTAGCCTCATTTCAGAAGCAGCAACCGGAGTTTGCTTTGCTCTGTGCGCTTTAGAAATCAGCTCTGCTGCAAAGACAACTCTGTTGCCCACCTGCAGACCTCAAAATGAAACGTGACAGTTCAGAATACATGTGACCGGTGAGATATGGATTTGTCATCTCCCCCTGCCTATGCATATATTTCAGAAGTTCCTGTTAAATTATAGCTCACTTAACCTTTGGTGCACTCAGGTTAACTGGAGCATGAGCGCATGCTGTGTCTTGCCCGAGGCTCCACTTGGCTTTTACGCTGTGCTTTCCACCTCTCCAGAACCACATCCAGCCACCGTCCACTCCACTCAAGGAACGCTGTAGGGTTTAAAGGGCCACACCTGTGATTTTTCAGCATGCTGTTATGCTACATGCTGGCAAAAGATTTAAATGACTATACAACTTGCAAGAACTTTGCTGCTCTGAATTCTGTACTATGTATACATACACGTACATCCTGGCAACACTTTTCCAGTCTTGTGTTTCCCAGTTTTGGTGAGGCTGTGTGAACTGTAGCCTCTATTTGTGTTGTGCATTGACAGATGCTCTTGTGCCTTCCTATCAGCTCAAAGCAGTGTGGCCATTCTCTAACCTCTGGCATCCACATCCACAGATTTTCTCTTTTTTGGACCATTATCTGTAAACCTCAGAGACGCTTATGTGGGAAAACCCTTTATTTTCCATTCTGATGCTCACATTCGGATTTCCTGTTGCTGTCTCAAACGTGTCTGCCTTTTTGCAGTCGGCTGATTTGATATTATCAGTAACAAGCAACTGAGAAAGTCTATTTAGTGAAGTGGCTGGTGAGCAGGGGGAAATTATAATGCAATGTAAGAGCAAATTATTAGCACTCAGCACTTTTTCTTAACATGTACATGATTTCTGGCTCTTCTGGTTTTAATGGACCGTTTCAGTTCATGTTTATTAGCTCTCCTAGCAGGTCACAACAGGCAGCTGCTTCACACCCTGAATCCTTAGATAACCACATTTAAAGTCCCAGGTAATAAATTCACAAGTTGAAGTAAATGAGTTTAAACATGGAGTCTCTCTGAGAGTCATTTTAAGTTACAGTGTAACCCTTTAACTGGGTGTCAAACAGGGACAGGGCTACAGCTGGGAACATCAGTGTTTTGTCTCCTGCACATGTTCTAATTTAACGATTTCATTCGGTTACTTTATAAAAAATACTACACATGGTGAGCACCTCCTGTGGTGCTTTCCAGGCGCTTTCCAGGCAAATCTGAATCCTAGAAAGTGTTCCATCTTCACCATAAGTAAAGTCATATATAAAAATATGTAGTTCTGTATCAAGATGTGTTGTGTTATTCAGTATCATGGTCTCGGTATGAAATGTCTTTCCAAACCCCGGCTGTTGTCAGATTTACCCTAGGTGTCATCAGCTCAAAGGTCGCCCTAATTAGAAGTTGTGAAGGGACCTGTTTGCGTCATCATTGCACAAAGTCAAGGCTTTTGTTGTTTCCTTGCAAAAGTTGAACTACTACATGAATGAGTACGGTGACCTCGAGAAGTCAAACGGACTGCACCTTAAGAAAACACCAGCAAATAGAAAAATACTGTAAAAGGACACAAGACTCAACAGAAGTTGAAAAAAAACCCCCCACAAATAAATGAGAATAAAATTGAACAAAATCTCACAAAGCACAACAGAAGTGTTTTTGGGGACGCAACAACAGGACAGAGCGGCTGCGGAGGTGACATTGAGGTACGCTTAAAAGAAGGGAGGGTCTCATTGGCGTCGTAAGGGAGGAAAAGATGGAGGTAATGCGTGTTTTAATTACATGATTCATATCATACTATTAGCTTGTAAATTCCACCGCTGTTCCCTCACATTGTTGTCGCTTCCGTTTAGTTTCGGGTTGTTTTCTTTCTGTTTCCGTTGTGTTTTGTTTGCTTTTGCAGCGTTTTTTTCATTTGCTGGTGTTTTCTTAATTTCCCACCATAAACGAGCGGTTATACTGAACACAGGACAAAAGTTCTGCCATTGCTTTTATGTTCAAGCCGTTACATCTGAGCTGCGATTTGAAAGGAAAACACCTCATTCACTCAGACCCACCTGATTCAGCTCTAACTGGCAGGTCCGCGCATTACATCCTCTTCCCAACGCCTACAGTGAATCCTCCCCCGAGTTCTTGTACTCTGGTTACATAAAACCTATTCACAGGAGAACTCCCAGACGGCCTGTGGCGGGTCCATAACTGCGCTGACAAATCAAAGACAACTGACTTTTCAGATCTGGCTCCACGTCAGCCAAATATTCAGTGGAGATTTTCCATCCATTCTCACTTGTTATATTTATCCCTCCAAAATACCAGCCCGCTGTCTCCTGAGAGCAGGCCTGTCAGAGGTAATAATGCACATCACATGATTTTAGCTGCTGCTATTTATCACTGCTACAGAGACTTCTCTTTTACCTCTTGACTTGGTTTGAAATTTTGAAAAGTCCCTAAACTCTAAGGTATGTTCACTGTAAAGAGTTGTGATTTCCTTTTTACAATGATTTTCTAAAGATGGTCCCGTTGTTGCAAAAAATGAATACCCTGTTTGCGTAAATTTGGTGAAATTGGTCTAACTGTGTGTTTTGTTGCTTTTATGGGCACGTGGATACAAGTGAGATGCATGTGTGGGCATGTGTCCTCTTTTCTTGGCAGGTGTGCGTTTGTGCTTCAGCTGAAGGGGCTGTCACACCAACTAGATTTAGGCTGCCTTGTGTAACTCTGCGTGGGTTTGTAATTTACTACAAATGATAGCGCTTTCTCTCTGTTGACAGCCACCCCACACAGTCCATCCAACAAAGTCGTTTGGTGGCTTCCTGTCCTCAAATGCTTGGCATCTTGGTGCAGTGTCCCCCTCATCTTGCAGCTTTGAAGGTCAAGAGAATGATGCCAAACTCACCTGGTAAATCTTTAATAAGTCAAAGAGTCAGCCCCATCTGGAGTTCAGCAGTTCATCGTAGAGCAGCAGGAGGGGGGGTAGGCGGCAGCGTGTCTGGAGGATCCTCTGAAAGCCTGCGCAGCCAGTTATTCCCCTGTTTCCTTTTTGCAAAAACGACACCTTCTGACAGCCCAGCTGTTGTGCCGATTTCATGCCCACAGGAAAGACGTGTGTGAGGTGATGCAATCATGATGTTAGAGTGGATTTCTCATGCAAGCACAAAGAAAGAGAAGGCAAAACCAGAGAACAAGAAGAAAATGAAGGTTTCTTAAACCACAACCAACGTGCTCTGCGGAGAAAAAGGCTTTATCAAACAAGGTTCG